CTCTCTCTCTCTCTCTCTCTCTCTCTCTCTATATATATATATATATATATATATATATATATAAATATTCTTAGAAAATTCATTGATTTTTTTTATTTTAAGATATGTGTCATCCATTTCATTTTTTACGGTATTTTTATAATTATAAAAATAATATATAAGATAAAAAGAAATAAAAAATAGAAAAAAAAAGATACAAAATATTTCCTTTAAAAAAAAAAGAATGAAAATAAAAAGAAAAATATTTTTCCCAAAAACTCACAACACGAGAAACAGGATTATTCGAATCCCGGTTTAATATCGCGATACTAGTATAATAAATTTGTCGTTTATAAATCTTTCGTAAACTTTGGTTTATTTGGTTTATTCGCGCGTGGCATGTCTCGAATTGCTACCGAATGAAAAATGATAAAGTGATTGCTATCGAAAGGATCGGAATCATGCAGTGAATCGGAGTTCGAGTGCAGCCCAGGAGACTGCATACCGAAAAATTGGCTCTGTGATTTTCATCGTGATTGCACAAATGGGATGGACGAGAAAAATTGTGGCAGTAAGTTATTGATAAGTCCTAAGGTTGATTGTTGGAATCAACAAGGAACTAAAGAGAAAAATGAAAAAAAGAAAAAACTACGGAATACGATGAGGAGGAATTATTCACGTTAGAAGAAAAAAAGGAAAGAGAATCTTCGAATTCGGTTTTGAAATCACAAATTGCATCCTTCAAATTATTACACTTTTTTTTTTCTATTAAAACAAAATTGTAATTAGGATATTGAAAGAAAATAAATTGTTGGAAAAAGTAAATATCAATTTTGAATTCCGCATTTTGAAGTTTTACCATAGAATTTGTGAATTTTTTTACTTTCTTTACTAAAAAAAATCGTATGTTTTTATTAAATTGTTGGATATGAGCTTGATAAAATGATGAAATGCCTCCATTCTAATTTTTAGAATTTTCATTCTATTTTGTTTTAATATCTCGCTGATCTATAGTGAAGAATCGTGAATTTTTGAATACATTGATTAATATTTTTATAAAATAGAAATACATATACAATATTCAAAAAATGTTATGTTAAACTAATATAATATGAAGATAGTTAAATAGATAAAAAGAATAAAATTTTTATATATTTTCAAATTAAAATTATTTTATTTTATTTGGTTTTCTTTAGGTTTAGTATATATATGTATATTTATATACATATATATATTTCTGAATTGTAATTTATTATAATTTAATGTAATCTAATTTAATAGAAATATATCAATATTTGAATATAAATGATATGATATTCGATAAAATTATAAGCATTTGAAAAAAATTATCGAATGTTATATAAGAAAGACAAGTGAAATATGTAAGATAATTAAGATAATTAAATTAAAACTTAAAAAGAATATGAAACTTATAAATTCAAACTTTGATGAAAAATAATCTGTAAATATAAAAATATAAAAGAAAAGTAGATATAGGAATAAAAAAAGAATGTGAATTTCAATAAAGGAATCTGTATATAAGTTATAGATATCATAAAATAATTATTCATTCAATTTATAATAATAAAATTTTATTTTTCTAATTTATAATTTTTCTATTTATATATTATTTAATCAAATTGTTTTTTAAAAAATTATTGTTTCAATGTGTTTTTGATTCATTGTTTCAGAAATATTTTATCCTGTTATTAATAATTGTTATTTATTCATAATTTCGTATATTATATTCTTCTTTTTTATTTTTTTAATATTTCTTTAAATAAGTAGATTAAATTGGTTAAACAAACAGATTTATAAATCTATATGTATTTAATATTTTTTACTTTATTTTAAAATTTTTCTGTATGCTTTTAATGTTTTACAAAACATTTTTTTTAACATTTTGTGAAAAATATTTTGTTTACATACATTACTTTTTTGTTTGATACTATTAAATATCCTAATAATATAAAAATAAAATGATCTTAACAATAAAACATTGAAATACTAATTATCAACATAAAATAATGAAATTTAAGCTTAAGTTCAGCAACATGTTTTTAATTATTCATTCAGATTAAAGAAAGAAAATAAAATTTTCTTTCAAAATATGATTTTATTTTATAAATGATATATAAAAATACTAAAACGTATTTAAATTGCGTAAAAAATTTTTGCTATACATAATTGATCCCAAGAATGCAATTTGTATGTTCTTGAGACAATTCTCGAGAATGTGCATACACTTGACAAAAATAAAGCTTGTCAAATTGTGCATACGCATAATAGAAAGCAACACGGGATCTATAACCATGATTGATATGGTTGGCACTTTGTTACAAAATAAAAAACGAGATCCAATCGATTGTCATCTTATAGGAATGAAGAATTGCACGGCGGATGAGTTCACGTGTCACTCTGGGAATGGCGAGTGTGTGGCACTCGCATGGATGTGCGACGGCCATCGAGACTGTTCGGACGGTTCAGACGAGGCTGAGTGTAGTAAGATTCTGCATGGGGCTTATTTTACTTATGCTTATTTATATAACATTTTTTCCTCTTTACACATTGATTGCCAATTATTTGAATTATTGTTTTAAGTTTCATTTTTTTTTTATATATATTTTACGAATATTATTTTTCTTTCTTGAATCTTAAAAAAATCTTTTATTAAAAATTTTTAAATCTTAATAGTAATGAAATGATAATGATGAAATGATGAAATATTAATTAATTTATAAATTAATTTATAAATACCATTATTTTATAAATATCATTTAAAATTCATAGAAATATTAATTGTTATTAAATAAAAAATTGCATAAATAAGTATATATAATAAGGAATGTCAATAATAAAGATTAGATATATATAAGTGAATCTATTATGATCCATAAAATTATTGACATTTCGATTAATTAAGTAGAAAGTGATAAAAAAAATGAAAGAAAAAATTTTTTTTTATTTTTTGAAAATATAATCAATTCACATATATTTCTATTTAAGTTTCTGTAATCTGAATTGTTTCAATTACGAAAAACAAGTATCATTAATAATATTCATTGTGTAAAATACAAAAAATACATAAAATTGAAATGAAATATTCTTAAATTAAGATTAATTCAAATTGTTAATTATACTTTCAATTTAGTTATTGAATTAAAAATTTTTTATGGCGAAAAATATAAATTTATTATTTTCTACTATATATTAACTCTATCATATATCGCAAACATTTCAAAAATATTTCATGTGTTTATAATAATATTTTGTTATATTGCATGAATAATAAATTTAAATTGCTAATATCATTATTTCCATTATTATTTTTCTATATATATTTATACTTTCTATTCTATCTATAGAATTCTATTCTATTAATGAAATATTTTCAGAATCATATAAAGTATAAGAAATAAATACAGTATAATAAAACACATACGCGCGTACACGCAATAAAATTCAATATGAAATGTTTTATCTTTGTAATTTAAAACATTATAAATTATTTTTAAAGATTGTATAATGTTTTTTTAAAAGTTATAATTAAATTTATTAAAAGTATTAAAAGTAATCTTATTAAATATAATAATATATATATATATATTTTTAATAAAACTTATAAATAGTTTACTAATGAATATTAAATATCACTAAATATTTATCAGTAATTATAAAAATTAAAAAAAATATCAAATATTATCATTTAATCATAGAAAATGTTTTATAATATCTAATTTTATATATTTAATTTTAATGTAACAATTATCAATTATCAAAAATCGGAAATAAATGATTCTAAAGTATATTATTTACTGTAGAATAATCTTAAATTAAATAGAAAATTGGCAATCAATGTATAAGTTCTATAACCCATGATTGATAGATTTTAATTTAAACGAGTTAAAACAATCTAATATATTTTTAATATATAACATATAATGTATTTGGTTTGAACGAAATTCTACTCTTTGATATTCTATTTTAGATTTGTAATATTAATTTGATGTGTTAAATTTATTTTATGTATTAAACTATAAAGTATGTGTATGTAAGAAAAAGCTAAATTAATCGTTAAGTATTTTTCGAAATTTTTCTAATAAGTTAAACTGATATTAATATAAATGTTACATATTTCAATTAAAATGCATACTTTGCAAACTTGTTTCATCAAATTGATCTTAGTTTATATATAATAATATATATTTTATTCAATTTCAAGGATTAAAATATGTATGATAGAATTCATAATGAGCATGTTTTCTTTTTCCTATTTTTTTATTCTGAGAAATTTTTGACAAATTAGAAAATTTTTATCATTTTTGTTCTATTTTTTATTTTGTTATTTTTTGCTATTTGAAAAAATAAATTTTATTAGATTTGTGTTAGTGAATGTTCATATTCTTAATGACATTCTATTGTAAAAAATGCTTACATATAAAATGAAAAATTAAATATAAATATACAGTAATAGAAAAAAAAAAGTTTAGAAAAATTATTTTTTTAATATATCGTATATTATAGATAAGTATATATAAATATTATAAATAAATAAATATTAAATTGTAGATAATAAATAATCAATAATTTATAATTGATTTTAATTACATATAATTTAATTTATTAAATATCTATAATAGAATATAATGATTTATTTATCAATTTATTATTTTTATTTTTGCCTATTACTTCATATAATAGATGTATTTTTTCATGCTTGATAATTTATTATTACATAATTTTTCTATTCTATATCAATCAATATCTTCATTTATTAAAATTTTAAATATTTTTACATCTAAAATAATTAATATTTGAAAAAGTGATCTCTATTTATTCAAAAACAGAAATAACGAAAAGTTTACAATTGATGAAATTATTATATACAATTTATGGTGAATATTTGGATTTATATATTTGATTTTTTGTAAATAAGCAATAAAGATATGCTTTATAAAACAGATATACACTTTTAAAAATTCTTTTTAAAGAAATTAATATTATTTTGTGATTCTAATTATATAAATTTCTTGAGAATGGTAAATTTGTAAATATTGAATAAAGAAAAATTAAAAAAAAATAAAATTGCCAAAGTGCATGAAAACAGAAATAATCGAGAATTCATTGTTATTTAACTTTTGTATTTTAATGATTAATACAAAATTCCATATGCTTTCCATGTAATCGTTGCATGTTGTATGCTTTTCTCTAATTAATAATTGTTGCATGTAAGTTTCAATGTAATGTAAATCAGATACTGTAATACTTTCGTTGTTTTTTTATTATTCTAAATGTAATTATTATCATTATGAGAATCATTCTTTTTTAATTAATCTCTCTTAACATGCTGAATCTAATCTAATAATAACATTATTTATTTTTTCAATTACATTCTAACATTTTTTTTCTTTCTTTATTTCAAAAATATTAACTACAGTAAATAAAATAGTAAGGAAGATATTATTAAGGTTTTAATTTCTTTATTAATGAAAATTCAGTCTTTTTATAATTAATATAATTATAATATATCTTCTATATAAATAAAAATCATAAAAGAAATCTAATAAATAGTTTTATATTATAAGAAAAATAAATTTTTATCATAAATTTATTTCATAATAAATTTTTTTCATAAAATAATTTTAATATATATATTATATATTTTATATTTATTCTTTCTTCTATTAAGAGATCTCGAGATTGTCGAGATAATTATCAAAAAACTTAAAATATTATCGCAAAAACGTATGCAAATATATAATTCCTTTTATCACAGAATAATATCATCGAATCATACCGAAACAAATTTGTTATCAAAACAAATTTTTTTTCTTTTCCGAAAAAGCACTTGATTTTTCTGGAAAAATTTTTGAATAACTAAATTTTCGTAATCATGTTATATAAACTACGATATATTTCCACGATTTTTCGTTGAACTGTGTCACTAATTTTTAATCGTTGTAATTTTTCATATTTTTGTTGGTATGCTCATACTGTATCCGTAGTTATTTCTCTTTGTTATTTTTTTTTTCATTTTTTTTCAATAATCTATAAAGTTATCATCAACTCTTTGTGTTATAATAATTAATTATTATTAAGTAATAATTACTTAATTATTGAAGTAATTATTATTACACAATTAATTATCTGTGATAGGAGAAGTTAAAGAAAGTAGCCATAAGAATAAATTTTTTATATTTTTCAATATTTGAAAAAAATATTAATTTTGAAATTAAAAAATTTTACAATACGTATAACATAATGTAAAATATGTAAAATAAAAAAAATTAATCTTTCAATTTCTACATGTATAATAAGATGTTTATGAAAATGTGGGATACATTTGGAGGGTGGATTTTAGACATCAAAAGGAAGTTCATATACACATATATTCGATAAGGCTTCATTAAAGAGTTATAAGCATTTAAAGTTTATATTAATATTAGGTAAAATATTAGATAAAATATTAGACGGTGAAAGAGTGAGAACTCTCAGCTGGATGCGTGGCAGTACCATATTGCAATGTCGTTTGCGTAGCGGAACCCCTCGATGAAAGTAAATATATTGATACTTTTTTATGTACAATTGATTATTTTAAATGAACTTCAGTGTAATGTAATACATCTTATGTAACTTCTTATTTGATAAAAACTTACCTCAAATAAGTTTTAATAAATTCCAGAATATTAACATATGTGCACCACTTTATATAAATCTATAGATAAATCATTTTATGATATAAACATATTATTTAAATTCATAATTGAATTATTGTATGATACTTAATTTGCCTTTTTACTGAAATTTATAAGAGTAAATGAACACTCCCATAAGATTTCAGATTAGAAAGATTGAATGTATTTTTTACACATAAATTTGCTTATTCTCACATGTATAAGAAAGTCATTAATGATACTTGAATCAATTTGAAATTCATAGATCAATTGAAAAATTTTTCTCCCTATTACTTATACTTAAATTCAATATTTTTTATTATGATATGAGATTACTAAACAGAAAAGTTGAAATTCAATATCTATATTTTAATATAATACTAATAATGTCACTATCTTATATCTACTAAAAAAATCATATAAACATTGTATTTTTTTTTTCATATTACTATTGCATATTAGATTTTTGCTTATTCACTATTCACATTAATTTGTTTGAATAAAATTATTTCGATTATTATTTATTATTGTACAATTTAATTTTATATGAAAATTAATTTAAACGATTAAAATTTTATTTTAAACAAATATTCAAGTATGTATTATTTCATCAAATTCTGAATTGACTCCGCGACGCGACAATGTATTATTGAAATAGCGTTGCTAACAATTGAATGCTGGGCATTAAAAAAAAAGATTCGATAGAAAGAAAAAATGAGATAGTAATATTCGAAATCAAATGTTATGTTTGTGTGTTTTAAGTATAAGAATACGAAAACTTAAGTCAACAATTTTTCTCTATGCTACGATAGTGTTGCTTTATTCTGGACTCAGTTCGTTCGTAAAGGTCATATAATGTACATTAGAAATACAAGTGTAAAAAAAAAAAGACTAGTGAATTTGAAATACTCATTCAAGCATATATAAAAAAAGCAATTGCGATATGTATGCATTTTTTTTTTGGATATGTCATATTAATGTGTAATATTGATTCATATTATTAATAAGTGATATCTAGATCGACTACTATTTGTATAAGAATGTAAAATATTTAGTGCAAGTGAAATAAAGATAAATATTTGTCAATGATTTGATTGGATAATTTAATAATCTGAAATTTAAATTGATTCAAGTATCATTAATATTTCGGATTTTCTTGTGAAAATAATTAAAAAAACAATTGTGCGTAAAAATACATTCAATCTAGTTCGAAATTTTATAGAAGTGTCTTTTGATTTGCTTGTATATATTTCGATAATTATAAGAATGAAATACAACGATTTATCTACGGTTTTAAATGAAATATTGTATAATCATCATATAACTTTAAATATTGTGGAATTTGCTGTAATTTGTCTGAGATAAGTTTCTGTTAAATAACTAATTACATAAATTTCAATTTGCATAATTAAATTTTTCTTTTAAATAATATAAAAATAGTTGCATAGTTACATTATACGATATTTATATGTATTCTTATATTGAAATTTATTTGAAATAATCGATTGTATTTAAAAAAATATCGGTATATTTATTTTCATCGAGGGACTCCACTACTCAAGTGACATTGCAATACGGTATTGCCGTACCCAGTTAAGCGTTCTCACTCTTTCGCCATCTTGCTCTATCTAATATAAACTTAAAATGCTTATAACTCGTTAATTAAGTTTTATCGGATCTATGTGCATATGAATTTTTTTTTCGTTTTAATGTCTAGAATCTACCCACATTTTTATACAATTTGTTCATATTATTTATACATATATCGATATTTTAGATATGACATTCTATTCCATTCAAAATTTTATTTTGTTTTCAATTTTAATTTTTTTTAATTTGTTCTTAAATAAACCATAATTGATTAGTCGAATCATATATTATTATTATTCTTGTCCTCAACAGATCTTTAATAATTTTGGGATATTTAAATTGCTCTTACTTCTCTTACATCATGTTATTATTTATTAAATTAAATGTTTGAAATTATTTTTAATTCTTAATAAAAATAAAAAAAAACAATGAAAAGTCAAATATCTAATTTATTTTAACAAAAGATTAATATATAAAAAATATTTGTTTGTGTTATAATTTAATTGAATAAAATTTTTTGAAAGGAATCAATCGCTTAAATATATTATCGATTAGAAAAACATAAAAATATATTCAAAATATGAATAGTAATTTGAAATTATCTTATTAATTATGAAATATTTAAGTAAAATATTAAATGGAACAATAAAGTGCAATAATAAAAAATTTAAAATAAATGATAAAATTTGAATTACAAAAATTATTTTCAAAAATTATTTTTAGAACAAAAAATTTGATATCAAAAAATCATAAAGAGTTGAAAATAATGAATTTTTTTATTATACTTATTGTTGTAGACAATTTCATAGTTTTTTTCAATGGGAATGATTAATATTATGTGAGTTGAAACAGTCAATTTCTTGTTCGTTCATCGAAATAATCACATACTAAAAGTTATATACTTATAATTTGAATCTTTAATTTATAAGTAATGAACGAACAAGCAATAATATTTGCTTGTCGTTGATCAAGAAGATAATTACACGATTGCTAAAAAATTTATTTCTTCTATTACATGACTAGTCTTTATGAAACGTGATAGTAAAAAAAAAGAAAAAAAAATTAAATTGTATACGAACGAAAAATCAATGTTTATGTATGCCATTCTGAATTTTTGTTTTAATATTTGTCGTATGAATGTTTGAATAAAAATATTGTATATATTTTTGTGTTTGTAGAAAATAATGTGTTTTTTTTTAAATATTATACAATTATTAAGTAATAAATATTAAGTAATTTTTTTCTTTAAAAAAATGTTAGAAAGTATCTACAATGACATGCAAAAGTTTTAGATCATTCATCAAATATAACCATTTTTCATTTCTATAAATAAAAAAGATATTGTGATATTTCAATTTTGATATTATCTTTTAAAAGATTATATATATATTATGATCGTTTAACAATAGTGTTGAATAAATTTTCTATGAATATACTATTTTTCTATTTTGTTTTCAATATTTTAAAATTGGATTATATATCTTTTTTTTAATTTATTTGAAATAATTTCATATGTATTCTATAAAATTCATGTATAAAGTTTTATTTTAATATTACTATTTATTTTAATGATAAAGAAATTATGATAAAAATTTTAAAGATAAAAATGAAAGATATATTTATATTTTTAATATTATCTATAAAAATATTTTTTATTTATTAAAATATATAGTTTAGAAAATAATTAATAATATATTATTTAAAATTATTTATAGAAAAGTTATTAATGATAACTTTAGATGATCTAAAACTTTTGTAAGGTTCTGTAGTTGAACATATGTACAAATAAACGAAAGAAGCATGTTAATAATTTACATTATATTTTTCACAAAACATTGAATTTTAAAGAAGAACTTTATTTTTATAGAAACAAAGATAAAATTATAAAAAATTGGACCTATTTTATTAAATTGAAAAATATAATATTTTAAAATAACGAAATCATAACAAATTGCAAAAATATAAATATTTCTATCTTACATTAGACTTTTTTATAAAATAAAATTCTTTCCGTTCTAAAATTATTCTGACAAATAAGAAAAAAAATTTATTTGCATATAATTATACTTTATACTTCATAAGAAAAAAAAATTTTCAATTTCTTTAAAGTTTATTAAAGAAAAAGATTTTAGAATAAAACATTTTAAATGATTCCAATTAGTGTATAATTAAATTTTATTTAAAAAATGATAAGATACTGAATTTTTTCTATTAGATAGAGTAAATTCTTCCATAATACACATATAATTCTTCAATTATTTAAAACTTAAAAATTATTTAAATATTTATAACATATGTACTTGTATATGCATACTTATATGCAGAAATACATGCATGTATATATTTATAATAATATTCCTAAATTTTAAGTTAATTATTATTTTAAATTAGTTTTTGATTCAAAAAAATATAATTATAAAAAAAAAGAACATTTAAAGGATTTAATAAAATAAAAAAATATTGTAAATATAACTTTGTCAAAAATGAAACAAATACAGGAAATAATAACATAAATATTTATTTATATTATATTATATATATTATTTTTAATAATAACATAAAATATAATATATATATTTTATTAATAGCAATATCGTATTTTAATATTAAAATAAATATTTTCATTAAAGTTTGTGATTTTTAATATTTTAATGTTAAAATATATAAATATTTTCATTAAAATTTGTTGATTATTCCTTCAAGTCAAACAATTTAACAATAATAATTAATTTAATAATTGAAGGTTATTTTTCTTAATGACAAAAACAATAGAAGGTTCATTGAGATAATATAATATAAAAGAAATTTTACTAAATTAATAATTTCAAAGGGAATTTAATTGCAATCTAAAAAGTAATTAATTCAATATTAGTAGTTAATTCAATATTTTATCTAAAGATTTGATTCAAGGATATTTAAACTAATGAAACTAATGAAAAATGCTTCTTTCGATTTCTATTTAAATTTCTATTAAAATTCTATACTTAAATTTAACTTTTATATTAAAAAATATAAATGATCGTTGAATGCAAGTGATTGTTTTTATTATATCATGTTTATTATATATTCTCATAAAACATGTCTTCTTTAGATGATACCTGTCGATCCGATGAATTTACTTGCGCAAACAAGCATTGCATTCAGAAAACGTGGGTATGTGATAGTGATGATGATTGTGGGGATGGCAGCGACGAAAAAGATTGCAAACCAGTAACCTGTAGCCCATCGGAATTCGCCTGTTCGGATAATTATTGTATAACATCTCAATGGAAATGTGACGGTGATTTCGATTGTCCTGATAGACGTGACGAAATTGGATGCAAGGTAAATTCTAGATGAATTATTTTATTTTAACAAACTTTTCTCATACTACGATGTGTATTATAGATTTTTGCTTTGATTAAAATTTTTTAAATAATAACATTTATTTTAAATTTCATTTGAATTGATTAGATATTAAATTTTGTTAATTAATATGTTGTAATAATTAATTACATTTTAATATTTTATATTCTTTTATTGTTTCAGTTATCTAAATAAAAGAACAATTTTGAATATAAATAATATTGAAAATTTTAAAATAGATAAAAAAATTGTTTTATAATTATTCTTTTCTAAATATTTTATTAAATAATTATTAAATAGAATATTAAGCAAATAAAATTTTAGTATTAGATAAATTATATTATTTATAATATTAATGTTACTACTAATATGACATTATGAAAATAACGTAGTAATATACAACATTGTCTATTAATTTAAAGATAGAAGATATTCTTATGTGTATAGTTTCAAAATTATTCTTAAAAATATAATAATAAAGAGTTTTTAAATATAAAATTTCTTCTCTTTTTTAAAAAAATTTAACTTTAAAAATTCATGAAAGTTCTTTATATAATTTATTATATTTATTAAAAGTTTATATTAATTTTACTTTTTAGATTATTTAGATTATTTTTCAAAAATATAATATGAAAAATATTTTATTAAAATCTGAACATTACTAGATATAAGTATAATTTATTTATAAAATTTTTAATTAATTTAAAATTAATGACCTAATAATTAACGTAATTTAATCATTAAAAAAATTTTAATACTATATGCATCATTTGAAACAGTTAAAATTAAAATTTCATGTAAAAATAAAATATAAATTAATGTTTGATTAATATTTTAAATGTAATAATTTATTCAGAGATTCTAAGTTTATATAATATATATTATTTCATTTCTTCCATTACGTCATATTTATATAGGTATATAAAATATTAACATATTCGTGAAGCATACTTTGAGTTTATTAGGGAATAAATTGTAGATAGATCTGATTAATAATAAAGAATATATAAAAAATAAAAAAATATTAATAAAGGAAATAAAAATAATCTATGTTATACAAATTATGTGGGTCATGTCCATGCCTTTGTTTTATTATACTAACACTCACACGATATGTCGCATCACACAGCACAATGGTCCAAAAAAGAAGGAAAAGATAAAATAAAATCAAAATAACAATCACGTCTAGTGATACCAAACATGTAAATTGCATTCTTACACATATAAACGTAACTTTCTCTCTATAAATATCTTTGTAAAATTATACATTCATGTCGAATAAATCATATTTTATCAACATCTCTTTAATATTATTCTGAGATACCAAACTCTGAAATTTTTGCTTCGATAATGCTTTTATAAATAGATCGGCTAATCAATTATAACATATCTATTTTTTTTATTCTATATTTTTTCGCAAGTAAAAATAAATAATTGCATTATTATAATAATGACAAATTTTGAAAACAATTACTCTGCAAAAATTCGTTCATACAAATCATATTATTTCTTGTATCAGCAATCTTATTGAAATTAATATTAGGATCTGCAGGCACTGCAACCGAAAAACAATCTGTATGATTAAATTTACATAATATTTTTTCCATATAAATCTTTTGAAACACTTTAGAATTCTTTATTTTTTTCTATTTGCATTCTGATAATAGAAGAAATATAGAAGAAATATTTAGCCTTAGAATATTTTATTTTGAATATTTTACTGTTGAAATTTGAAAGTAAATCATTCATTTTTAAACGATTATCACAATCAGATTATACCATTATCAAAATACATAATTAAAACTTAAAGAAATCAAATAATATATAGGCGTCAGTTTTAGATTGTAATAAACTGTACTGTACTGTACACATAAATTCATTGATTTTTCAATCCATTGTCTTAATGTTTATTTTCCGTTTCCACAAGCTTTTTCTTAATAAATAAATACATACTTTCTTAATAAACAAATAAATATCATCTAGCTCGAGATCAATTAGTTGTTCCATATAAATAGTTTCTTCTAAATTACCATACAGAAATGCAGTCTTCATGTTAAATTGTCATTTCTATCTCTTCATTCATTATAGCAATGATGGACAATACCAATCTAATAGTGTCATATTTTATGATCGGAGAAAATCAGTTTTTTATAATCAATATCATTCTTTTGTGCATAGCTTCTAACGACGAGTCTAATCTTGTATTTACAAATTGTTTCATCTATTTTATATATATATTTTTTAAATCTAATAATTAACATAATTAACATTGCATAGTCTTGGAATTATGTTTTATGTTAAAATTTATGTTTTATTTTCTTCAAGTTGTTTATTGATTACTTCTATCCATTTAGTTAAATCTTCTGCTTTTTATGTTTCTTGGACTATTTATGTTTTACTAACAGCAAGAAATGTTATTTCAGAATGAACTTTTCTTAATACCGAACTTCTTCTATGAAACAAATAAAGATCTCGTTGAATCAAGGATTTTTTGTTTTCTTCAATATTCGATATCGATTCATTCTTATCGATTATTCGCCTGCTCATTCATTTTATCTATCTCGTTATCAATCTTATTAAACTTAATCATTTCTATAGATTCATTTATATTTCTCATTGAAAATATCATTTCTTCGTAACAGGATCAATATTGTTTTCTTTGCTATCCTAATCTATTTTCAAATATTTTTTTGAATCTGCCACTTGTTCCTTTGATCTTTTGACACATGAATATAATAATCAATTATATTATTATATGAATATAATAATCAATTTCTGAAAATTCATACACTACAAATTGTTTTTTGCCATACCATTTTTTATACGGTGTTAATCTTTCTCATATTTTCGTAACTGTTCGATTTTTAACGTAAACACGCCGTAGTTGTTGCATAGTCTCAACTCATAAATACAATGGTTACTTTTTGCAACATAGATTAATTTGACAATTGTTCTATTCTGTTTCTCGATAAATTCGTTTTGCACATAGTATTATTGTCTCAATGTTTTTCGAAAGTAAATAATTTTTTAATTTATTACAAAATTCTTTTCCACAATCAATTCTGAATCTTTTTATATTATATCCGTTTGCTTTACATATCAGCAATAAAACTATTTCAAATAATTAAGAATTCCATTTTAAGAAATAAACATAGCACAATCATCTTTCAATAATAAGAAATAATACGATTTTCCAATAGTTAACTCATTTTATTGCATATGGCACTTCTTCTGTTTTTTGGCTTTGGCAAATTGTCCTTTTGCAAAAGATATTTAGCGCTACTTGGCATATATATATCCTTTACAAAAAATATCATCTTTAATTATACCATCGATCTTTAAATCTTGTAAATTCGAATTTTACATTACCATATATCGTAACGTTTTAAAATTTACATGTTTTAATTTTTTATGCCACTGTTCTGGTGCAACATTCATCAATACATTTATTTTTTCCACGAGTGTTGTTTATTGTAAAATTTAATTTATATAGTCTGTTATCAAGTTTATCTCCCTTGACAATTAATTGTTTTTATAAAAATTTACATTTTGTTTATTATCTTCAAAAATAACTCTCATGTCTTTTCCAGAAATACATCCAATCAATAACAAATTCTTTTCTAATTGCGGCACATATAATATTTCATTGATTATATGACTCGTATACGTTCCATCAATATTTACTACTTCAACATTGTCTTTACTTTTAACATATAATGTATTATCATTGCCCATGTGAATATGTATTTTCTACATATACATTTTCATATTTTTGAATTTTTTCCCGAAAGACATGTGTTTTATAGCATCCGAGTCGATAAACTAAACATATGTCTTTCATTTAAGAAACATGTTCTATGTTAAATAATTTAGCAGAATCAAAATATTTAATATTTTTGTTTTTTTTTTCTTGTTCTTTTGAGCTACCAAGGATTGTTCTTTTCCACATACCTTTTTCTGCACAATCAGAAGTTAATATCAGAACTTAATATCCAGGTTTTTTTATAAAAATGACATGTTATTTCTTATTTTTATTTATATCAGAACCACGAAAATCACGAGAATCACAGGAATATAATTCTTTCGTTTCTTCCTTCCCCTCACAGGATATTTATATGTCTCATATTTTTAACAGCATTTCTTCGTTTATTAAATAATCTATTAATTACTCAATATTCTGTTCCGCTTGTGATAGCATATCACAGCCATTATTATATTTTGCTGTTAATAGAATTTTTACAATGATAACAGCATCTTTTTCTTCCGGATCTATATTTTTGTGACGAAACTATTTTTGAAATGTGATTTACAGCGAATTTTTTCGGATTTATTTTTGCATTTATAAATTGATTAAAAAATACTTATATTGATTGATCACTTTTCTCAGCATATACATATATTATACAATTTTGCCTATCTATGCATCAGTAAAATAATTCGATAAATATCTTGATTTAATTCAAAACCCTCAAAAAAGCTTGAATCAGCATCCTTTTGAATCCATAATGCAGCATATGCTTTATTTTCAAGTCTGGGAATCGAACTACTAATATACATTTTCAGTTTATTTTTCATCATATAAACTTCCATTTACCGTTTCCACAGCTGATAGTTTTGTCCACTAAAACAATGAAGCTAATATAGTTTTGCTTTAGCCATTTTTATTTTATTTTTATTTTATTTTTAATTTTTAATTTTAACAAGCACAAAATATACCTTTACATTGAATCACAAAATTTCACAGCAGTATTTTAATTTATTATTTTTTCAAGTATCAAATTCACAACATGATAACACATAAACATGGACCCATAATTTATTAGAAAATAGTGTTAAAGCCGTAAGCGAGTGCGATTTTGAATATTGCACAAATGGGGTGCCTAAACTGATATTACTGCTTGAAGGACCACTTACTACCGTAGGAACTATATAATCGTTTATCTTATGAGCTCTGTGTGAACGAATGGTGATACTTTAATTCTTTGCGGCTAACTGTGCAATTCTAACTGTTCTTTGATATCGTTGTCGAAATCTATCTGTCTTCTATGCTTATTCTAGTGCGATTAATGTCCTCTATGACGTTCTAATTCGACTACTATCTTCTATGACCGCTCTAGTTCGACTACTCAAACCGTGAATCTTGGTTTTTCCTCCAATCCTTGCATTTCGTGAAAATGCACACAGAGGGGCCAATGGGTTAGAGGGACCAATCATCGCGTCGAAGGGCGGTTTCGAAGGATGGTCCTTCGCGGGGTCGCACCGCAATGCGAAATCAGGATCTTTACTTTCATTTCCATCATAGTGGCCTATCACATAGCGCGCAAATGCAACTTGTGAAGTGGTCGCTGCTGTAGTATCTGTTCAAACTAAGATCTGGAAAATGTTATGAAAACCATAAATTACCGTTCATAAATTCCTGTTAGACTACTGTTTGGCAGGTATTCGAATTGTTGAAAGTAAAACAGGACTCGACCATTTCACGAGCCTTAACAAATAGATTGAGAAATGATTTAATTAATATATAAAGAAGATATAATAAAAAAGAATATATTTAATAAAAGAAATAAGACTATGTTATTTATATATAGATATAGGTCGGTACCGATGCCTTTGTTTTATTACACTGAGTTCATTCATAGTGGTTCAAAAAGGAAAAAGGACAATACAAAAACAATGATTATGTCCAGTAATATCAGATTCACATGCAAATATACAAAATATGAATCGCATCATATAAACTTACACATATAAATACAATAAATACAATTTATTCTAGAAATACAAAAGTAAATACGTAAAGTAAATACAAATCGGTATTTATAATTAATTAAATTTGCATTAGATAAAGCGAAAACAGCGGAAACAGAGAAAAATCATTCTGTGTCCATTATGTCGTATTTTGTTTTCGCATCGTTTTATCTAATATGAATTTATAAAATTATAATGTAATAAAATCTTAAACGATATTTTTGTCAATCAATTTTGATGGAATCGAAAGTTCAAGTTATTCAAAGTATGTCTCACGAATATATTAATATTCTGTATATATTTGCATATTATAACTAGTAAAATTTTATTTATTCATTTTTAATTCCTGAATTATAAAAACTTAATATAAAAAAACATTAATTTTAAATCTTTTCATTTGTATTTTTTCATCATTATCAAAAAATATAAAATATTATACTTTTATATTCTGTATATATTTGTATATTATAACAGTAAAATTTTATTTATTCATTTTTAATTCCTGAATTATAAAAACTTAATATAAAAAAAATATTTAATTTTAAATCTTTTCATTTGTATTTTTTCATCATTATCAAAAAATATAAAATATTAGACTTATAATATTATACTTACTGATAAATGTATTTTTGCTTAATTACATGAATAACATTGTTTAAATAATAAATTTAATATTGAACAAATTATAATACTATATATTATACTGTATTAATTTCTCATAATAAAAGAAAAATTTTTTTTTCTATTTTACAATTTGAAGCTCCATTTTTTTGAATAATTATTCAAATTTTCAACTTTTTTTTTCAGTATATATATTTTTTTTCATTTGAATTGTAAAATGGTATAAATAGAATATTTAAATATTTAAAAATGTAAAACCTTAAGATTTGAAAATTTTAATATAGATTTCATATAGATAATCTCATCTTTATTGAGTGATATTAGTATTTCTGAAATTATGTCCGTTTTTATATCAATTAATTTTTACAACTATTCTATATTCATTAATTGTTATTGTCAAATAAATGAAAAAAAAATAAAGGCTATTAATTTAATATTATACTTTTAAATATAACTTTTTAATATAAAAATTTCAATAATGGAATGATTTCATCCTTTTTTATTTAATTATTTTTTTTATTTAGTTATTTTTTTAATTAATATTCGTATTTATAAAATTATATTCATTTTTTTTAATCAATTTTTTAATAATTTTCTTCTTATTTCAACTATTGTTTAAAAATTTCGAAACTGAAAAAAGATCATTGTATCCTATTATCTTATTTATGAAAACAATATTCTCTTTCGCATTTATTAATTTTTATAGCTGTGTTTCTATATCAAAAAATTTATAAATAATAATAAATAATAATAAAGAATAAAATAATAATAATAATAATAATAATAAAACTGAAGAAAAAATCAATTCTTAAAATGTAAAAAATTACATAAAATAAAAAATTTATGAAATCTTTTTAGTATGCAGATGGAGAACGTCATGTTCATTGCAATAAAAAAGGAGAGTTTGATTGTGGCGACGATTTCTCGTGCATACATGAAAGCTGGGTATGCGACAAAGAAAAGGATTGTCCCAATGGAGCTGATGAGTTGCCTAAAGTGTGCCATAATTTTACATGTAGACCAGATCAATTTCAATGTCAGCATATCCGCAATTGTATATCAGGTAATTTAAAAGAAAACTTAATCAAAACTTTTTTCTGTAAATTTATCTATATCTATTCTATATAGATATATCAAATATATAAGATATATAAAATATATATCAAATATATAAGATATATATAAGAAATATGTAAATTCAGAACAATTAAAAAAAAAAAATAAATAAAAATCTTACTTATGGATCATCATAAATTATAGATTAATAGTAAATTAAAAGTGAGTTAAAATAAAAAGTTTTTATATTCTTATTATATATTAAATATCTATTTATTGTTATGTGATGTTTTCAGAATTTATTTATTATATTATAATGTATTTTAATTTAATATCTGTTATTTTCTATTATCATAAATCAATATTTTGCATTTTTTTTTCAACTCTTTTGAATTCTTTATAAAAATTCTTCAATATTTAATTCTTCATACGTGTTTGCAAAAATTTTGTTGATTGAAAATGAGTAATTTTAAATAATGTTATTTTTCATAAATTTTGAACTTTTTTCAATTTAAATAATTTTAAATAAATAAATCGAATAAATTTAGAGAAGAAAAAATTTATAAATTTAATTCTTTTTTTTGAATCATAGAATGAGAAATTTTTATGCATTATATATTTTTTTATTGAAAAATGTCTCCTATTTCATTAATGTTATATTAATGATTTTTCAAAATATTTTTAAAATTTATATATAAATATTATATATATAATTATATAATACAATATACTACATTTATTTATGAAATAAAATAGAAAAATAATTAAAAGGAAGGAAAAAATTATAAAGAAGGAATTATATATTTAAAACTTTCCATTTAACAGAATACATATTACGAATTATAATATGCACTTACATATGCACTTACTTTTGAAGGAAAAAAAAGAGCAAAAAAATTTTTATTTCAAAATATTTACTTTAGAGTATTTAATTAAGTAATTAAACAATAAAATTCATTTTAGAAAACTATCAATTTTTTTATCTATTTTTTTTATTATTATTTTTCATTTCATCACATTATAATTAAACGAATTAGAAATTAGATAAATATTTATTATTCGGAATTTATTTATAATTATGAATAACTATTTTTACACAAATTCTTATAATGTAGATTCTATTTTTTTTTCTAAATAATATATATATATATATATATATATATATATATATATATAT